GGATGTGTGGAAAGGAAGAGGAAACATGGGAACATGTATGGGAGGAATGTACGAGATGGGTGGAATGGGAAGGAGAGGGGTGGCAGGATGTGGCAGAGAGATTACTAGGAGAAAAGGGAGAGGGAGAAGAATGGATGAAAGCAATAGAGGAAAGGAGACGAGATGGAGGAGGGAGGATAATGAGAAAGGAAGAAGGACAAGCCAACAACTCAACGAAAGAGGATCAAGGAAGGCGAGACAACGAAAAGGATCGAAGAAGAATATGTTTATAATAAATTATATGTATTTTAATTGTATGTAAATTGTTGTAAACTGGATGTACAGGGTTGGGTACGTCTCTAAAAAACGCCCTTTTAGACCCCTTGGGGTAATAAAGTATCTTATCTAATCTAATCTAATCTGTAAAAAATATTGTATTTTAAGAATAATAAAAATAATGTGGGGGAAAAATGTTTGCAAAAAAAGGCGTTCACTATATACCTAAAAATTCTACAATTGTCGTGTGTATTTTCAGGTCTGATCGAAGTTCTCGGTTGTGTCTTTCGGAGACATTGTTAGTTCTATGTACTTGGAAAACAGAGAAGGAATCGGGCTTAAAGTAGTTTATCCATGTCTGTTTATAATAATAAAAAAAGCAACTCAAAAAAAATTTTTTTTACGAAAACAAAGCTTTCTCTATGAGGAAGCAAAATGGCTGCAAATACGTGCAATCGTTGAAAATAATTGTAGATATCAATTCAAAGCCTTCTTCTATTAATGTGTGTGATGAAAAAGCCAAAGATATTAGTAATTTCGTTGCACCCCAACCCAATTCATTATCGGCACCTTTTAGTATGCCATATTTGTCAGCCTTTTGTACTAACGCCTGTAATGAGAAATTAACACAATTAAAATTGTCATGCATTTCATGCTAATTAAGTGAATTGTTATTTTTTATTACCTGACTTTAATGGAAGAAGCAGCCAATGATTGTAGCGCTGGGGAAAACTGTGTGTAAAGCTTTTCGTTCGGTTTTTTCAAAGTCAGATATTACTGTGTCAGGTATTATTTTCAGAACATTCGTGACTTTTTTTAACACATTTACGTAACTTTGTACAGTGCGTCCTTCCATTATGGCATATACAATTGGAAATGTCTGAAAAATTTAAAAGCAATTATATTTAATAATATATTTACACACAGTATAGAGTGCCTATTGCGATTAAAGGAACTAATTACTTAAAGGATAAACTAATGAATAATTGTTTTGCTTACTCTATTATCGTGTCTAATGACAATTGTCCACAATTGACAATTGGTATTTTTTAGTTGAGGTACAGTGGCAAACGTCCCATCAACAAAAACGGTTAATTTTTCATTAATAACATTTGTAATCAAATTTGACAAAGTTTTGTCAATAAAAATTACTGCTTTTGTTGCATTATTTTTAATGACAAACTGTACAAGGAATGAATCTGCTTCATCCATCTTCAAAAATTGCTTCCAATTTTTGTTTTCCAAGCAATTACGTAATTCGTCGAGATTTTGTGGAATCCGTCCAATATTTTTTTT